ACACTAATTCAAAAGGATATATACACCCCTGTTTATAGCAGTGTTATTCACAATGATGACCCGACTTGTTAACACGGACTACCGGCCTCTAATAGTGTCCTAGGTGCTCTTGCTGCCTCCGAAGCCCCACACTTAGAGGCTTAAAGTAACTTGTTTTGCTTAGTTCTGTGGGTCCGGAACTTGAATGGGGCTCAGCTGGGCTGTTTGGTCCACATGGCTTTCACTGGGGCGATTGAAACCCAGGATCTGCTTCAAAGACGGCTTCCTCACCCAGGTGCTGCCTGGTCTCTTCCTGCCACCATCTTGTCCTCCATCTTGCAGCGTGGGGGTCTCAGGGTCGATGCACTTTTTTAGAGGGTGACTGGTTTCCAAGGAGCAGGAAGTAAAAGCATCAGGCCAGCTCTGAGGGCTGGCTCGGAATCGCTTCCACGGTGTTCGGTTGGTCAGAGCCGTCACAGACCTGCCCAGAGTCAAGGAGGTGGAGAGACAGACGGGTCCTCTAGCTGGGGGGAGGGGAAGGCCACGCCGCAGGACCAGGCAGCCCGCGGGGTGCTCTGCAGTCTGCTGTCCACCGTCAGGCCCCTGCAGAAGCATAGGTCATACTAAACCACTTGCGTCTTAAAATGTGCTTCCCTGTGCTCTTAACCGGGTGAGCTCTACCTGTTTTATGATCTGAGCCAGATCAGGATTTCCAGACTCTCCGTGGCCTGTAAGAATCCATGAGCCACCTGCTCGTTTTGTCCCCCCCAACTTTTATTTCGAAAAGTTTCAACCTACAGAAATGTTGTAAGAGTGATGTGATGCCCGTACACTTGCCACTTAGATTCACCAACTATTAGCACTGTGGTCATACTTGCTTTGGTCTGTGTGTGTGCATGTGTGTGTGTGTGTGTAAATTATGAACGATTTTGTGAATTAGTTGCAGACATCAAGGCAGGGGTTTAACGTCCATCACGGAACATTTAACATGCACGCAGCACTATTATCCGTACAGTCTATATAGATGGGACTTTGCCAGTTGTCCATAGGGTGTCCTTTAGAGCTGTTTGTCTAAGTCCAGGATCCACTAAGAATGAAGCGCTGCATTTCGTTGGCCCATGGGATTTCCCTGTTGCACCCGAGTCCTTTCCTTCAGAGAACGTTCCTGAGTGTGGTTAAGCCCCTTGGCCTGGCAGAAGGCTTCCCAGCCGAGAGGCTCTTCGGGACCAGCCTGTGTCCCCGCCACGCTCCGGTGTGTCCCTGCTCACTTCCTCACGGGTCACGTCACGTCACTCTCTGTGTGCTCGCTGTTTACTTGTCCTTCGGTTGGTTCCAAACGGGCAGGGACAGTATGTGCTCTTGTTCTGCATGTTAGCCCTGGGCCTGGTGTCTGGTACACGGCAGATGCTCAGTGATTCCTTGAAGAATGAATACACAGATATTCACTGGGGAAATTTAATGAATCGGTGAAAACCATTTTGGGTTGGCTGCGCTCCAGACCTTTACTATTTCAGAAGACTCTTGCCACAAGTGCTAAGAATTTCTCCTTTGTCTTGGGCTGCTTGGCTCTGTTTTGCTCAGAGGAATAACCCCTGCTCACAGCAAACCAAACTGGTTTTCTTTCTTCTTTTCTTTTTTTTTTTTATATCTTTTTGTTTCTAGGAGAGAGAGAGAGAGACAGTGTGAGCAGGGGACGGTCAGAGAGAGGGAGATACAGACTCTGAAGCAGGCTCCACGCTCTGAGCTGGCAGTCAGCACAGAGCCCGACGCGGGGCTTGAACCCATGAACCACGAGGTCATGACCTAAGCGAAAGTCAGACGCTCAACCGACTAAGCCACCCAGGCGCCCCCCGAACTGGTTTTCTACAGAGCCCATTTGGGCAGAAACTGCTGCACTATCCAACTGTGCCCGCTTGCCACTTGTGGGTCCCAATCTGTGAACAAGAGATGGGTGTCTCCAGCTAATGGGACAATTTCTTTTTCTTGTTCTTTTTTGTTATACACACACACACACACACACACACACACACACACAGATTTGAAATCTCTTTTGAAAGCGAGTATGTGCATGAATGGGGAAAGGGTAGAGAGAGAGAGGAGAGAGAGAAACTCAAGCGGACTCCCTCACGTCAGCACAGAGCCCGCTGTGTCTCACAAACTGTGAGACCATGACCTGAGCCAAATTCAAGACTGACTGAGCCACCCAGGTCCCCGGGAAAATTTCTTTTGCATAGAGAGAGATGCATAATTCGCCCAAAGGGAGCTGGCCTCAAGCTGTGGCGGTAGTCACTTTAATTTGCAGGTAGTCCTGAAAATACCCTATGACCCAAGTAATGCCCACCACGTGTGGTTTTCACCGCCTGCGCTGTATCTGTACCCTTCCTTCAAGGCACTCTGGACATCAATCCCAGAACTCCCTTACCATTAGGCACTCCCCAAACAGAGTATCTCCATGAATCCAAAGAATTAAAACTGTATTGCAAAAATCAAGTATTACCTGCCTTTTGTGTTATTGTGGCCTAAATCCATTCCATCCGACTGCACACACTATGTGCTCCCAAATCCAGGGGAATAAATACGTAAATCTCCAGTACAGAACTATTATCTTCACGGATCAGACATCATTTCCCTCCACCAAAGAAAGAAAAGAACTTGCAGATGTGTCCTTGCCCCCGTGATGGGTAATAGTATCTATAGGCGTGTCCCTTCCTATCAGCCTTATTTGTTCAACTTCCTGTAACCTTTAAATAAGGTAAAGTGACCAACATTCAGAGATGGATGGACATGTCTACATATTAGCCATTACCACACATCCAGAGGGTGGTGTACCTTCCAGCTTCATGAGATTTTTGGCAGGGGAGAGATGCAACTACTTGATTTTTATCCACGTTGAAGGAAACCCAAAGAGTCCATCCCCCTAAAAAAAAAAACCCCGTGCCATTCTGGTGTAAGGCTCATGGGGAGCTGAAGGCCACTGAGAAACAGCAGACCCAAGAAGACCCCTTTGCTTTCCCCCTTTCTGCCTAAAATCGGGGCCTACATCTCACTTCGTCCTAGGTATGAGATCTTCTCTTAGGCTGGCTCTCTTCCGGTGTCCCTGATAGGGTAACAGTTGAGAATCTTGCACCTGCACTTTCCAAAAGGCAAAAACCATTAATGCTTTTGAAGCCACCAACTCTAAGATGCTTGCCATCAGCCTTCCTCCCTCGTCCTATTATTGTGAAAGCTTTTCCTTACGCTTGTGTACTTACCAACATTCCAGAAGATTTCCTGTTGGGGAGGTGTCTCACTTTGGTGAGGGCCCACCACAGTCTGGCCTGCGGTGGCAAGTCTTCGAGCGTGGCGTGGCACGTGAATGTCTACTCGGCATCAACCCAAGGGCACAGTCCTCCCCTAAGTGAAGCCCTTGTCCTGTGCTGCGGGACGCCCTCTGTTGCTGTGAGCCTGAAACGGGACCTCACAGAGGGCAGCTCAGCTCATGAAACTCAGTTCAGAATCTGGCTTTTCCAGGAGAAGTCAAGATGGCAGAGACGTAGGGGGACCCGCATTTCCCTCACCCCTCAAACACAGCAGTATTGAAGTCGAACACTTGGGATACCAGGAATCCAGTGTGCAGAGTGACAGAAAAATCACAGGGGTACAGACACGTGGTGGGACAGAGGTGCGTGTTTGTGGATTGGGGAGGTGAAATGGGCAGTGTAGGCGCAGAGTGGGGGGTCCCCTTCAGTGGAGAGTCAAAGGGAAGAGAAAGAGAGGCTGTGGAAGTGTGGGATTGTATTTGGGTAAGAGAAAATGACCACGGAAGACAGAAGAGAAGCGGTTTCTACTTTGCAAACAGCCTTAGGAGTTTAGATCCGAGTTTTCAGGGGTGCGTGACTTCCCTGGGACTGCAGCCAGCAGTGTGTGCGTCCTGGTGGGGAGGGGAGCCAGCGATCTCGGGGTGCACTGGGAGAAGGCAGCCCCTCCCTTGAGTACTTGGGAAGAGGGTGCATTGACCCCCACCAAGGTCAAAAGACCCTGCAAGGCCCTTTGTCCGCTGGGTGGAGTGGCGATATTCCAGAACCAGGTCTGCACACAATGACACACAAAGACACCGGGTTAAGTACCTGGGAGGCAGGGGAGACTGAGGCAGGACAAGCCACCCGTCATGCAGCTCTGTGAGGACGGCCTGAACAGTGTGCTTTGAAACATGCAGCTCAGAGAGGAGATTGGGTGTCATTTTCAGGGAAAATGGGTGCGGCTTCAGGGAACAGCACAGAGGCCCCCAGTGGGACCCTCTCACACCAACCCCCGCCCCTCCGTACCTGGTAACTGCTCATCTACCAGAGTGAAACTGACACTGACTGAACCAGACTGCCCCTCCTTCGGACCAGCACGGCCATGGGCCCTGGGGACCAACAGACAATTGTCCTGTGGTTTTATGTTAGTCTGTTGGGGTTTTTTTTTTCTTTCCTTTCCTTCTCTTCTCCCTTATCTGTCTACTCTCTTCTTTCTTCCCCCTTTCGAATCAGCCTCAGAGTTTCTGATTTGATTTTTGATCAATTCTTATGTATTTTTTTCCTCTGCTCTGGCTGTTTGTTTAATCAGGCGTTTTTAATTTAACACCTATCTGGTATCTCCTTCTTATTTTCCTTTCTGGATTAAGCCTGCAGTTTGATTCTCTGCCTGGTTGTTTTTTTCTTCCCGTCATTTATTTGTTTGGGATAAGATTTCTTCCCTCTGACCCCCCCCCCCCCGCCCACTCCTTTCCCCCAGGGTTACTTCAATGAACAAATCAAAGCACACCTGGTGGAAGGTCCAATCTGCCACTACGTGCAGTGAGAGAGAGCAGCCACAGACACAACAGAGTGCACACAACATACTCCAGAAACACTTCCTGAAGTGCCAGGTCCTGGACGGTGTAGACCCCTTTTTAATATGGTAGTAGTCACAGGTGCAGGCCACAGAACAAGCTCTTAAAACACAGAAAGGGCAGAATCTGACTTTTCCACTAGTAATGTTTTAGAAGATAAAGACAAGGGGACTGTAAAATAATAGCTTTATTTATGACTGAAGATGTGAAGATAGTCACAAAATGCCAAGGAAAACCATTCCTCGTTCCAGTTTTGAAATCTCAGAGCTCTGAGCTCTGAACGTTCACTATATACCAGGGAAGGACGCCTCTCTTCAACGGACTTTCCTTCCTACTAAGAGTTCAAGTTCATTTTCTCAACACCCCACCGGGCCCTGACTTCCACTTCTCCAGTCTGCTCACTGTTTCCCCAGGAACTTGTACAGCTGCAGCCTCAGGTTAGTGCCTCTCAGAGGGGTGCATGGGGCATAACTCTCGGGGCCCCTTAGTGTTACGTTCTTTCTCGGAGTAATGACGGCAGCCAGGAAATGAACAGAGAGTAGCACTAAGGAATCAGCAAATAAAGGCCTTGAACCTAAGGTGGACAACTCCACTTCCTGGAGCTGAAACAGGGGTGAATAATACTTTTATCAGAGATACTCTCTGTTATGTGTACATAGCACATGATGGAGAACTAATTTTATTATATATATCTAAATATACAAACAGATTTAGGGAAAAACTCTGGACTCTTTCCCCAAATGACTGACACAGCCAAAAAGAAAAAAAAATAGGGAGTGGACGTATTACTAGCCCTTAGGATTCGAACAGAATAAGAAGACATTTATTGTCATAAAATCTTGGGGGGGGAGGCACCCTAGGGATGACCTGCCTCGGCAGAGACCTCATCTGTCTTGTACTTACACTGACCACAGAAGCAGGTCACCAAACACTGACTGCCAGCAGCAGGCACGGAGCTGTGTCCCAGGGCTTCAGAGATAAAAAAGCAGCTGCTCCACTGTCACCAGAGGTGATGTGCACAGCACAGCTCAAGTGACATGCGTCCATGGGAGTGTATGTTCTAGAACATATCCGCTGGGAGTACTTACTGGACGCCAATCAGAAATTCATGAGAGGAGAGGTCACTTACAACATAGGGATGAGCCTGTCCCCATACACGGCTCACAGTCTGAACTGGCCCGTGGCAAGGAGTGTTAGAGGAAAACCATAAACTCAAAAATGAAAACACAAAACGGTGCGATACAAACCATAATCACCAAGGACTTTTCATTTAGGTGAGATTGTCAGGAAACCCAGGGATAGATTTTATATCACAGAATGGTCCATAGCGTCCAAAAATGTCTTTTGATTGGACGGTAAAATAGTACTTGTTGGAAATTAAAAACTGAGATAGAGTACAGGCCATCGGGAGTGGCAAAGCTTTAATTTCTCCGATTTTCTTCCAAATCAACTTATTATTCGGGTTCTCATGGCAGAGGAAGAGGTGATAGCTTTCCACAGGAGCGCACTTGGGGTTGATTTTGGTGATGTTCCAAGTCAGCGCGATGCCCCTGGGTTTCAGCACCCGTTTCACTTTGAGCTCGGTCTTCTGGGGAGGAAGCGTGTCTCGGATTTTGTCTACGAGTTCGGGCAGCAGTGCTGGCGGTTCCGGGAGGGGCGGCAGGTGCTCAAAGGACTCAGGAGCCTAAAAACACATTTATAAAGTTTAGCGAGCAGGCTCAGCGGCCTCTGCTAACTTAACCGCATGCGACGACAATTCTAAATCTACTTCCCAGTTTTCAATCCATTTATCGAAATCCTAGAACTAAAGGACAATTCAAGACTATGTAGGGCTAGAGTTGGTCTTTTCAAGCGTAAACTGCTTTTGGCGCTAAGATTTGTACACTCTGGAGTATCGCTAATCCAGAATGGTTTGGTCCCAGGCATTCTGGATCAATATTCTGGCTCATTTCCATCCTGTGTTCCCAAACACTGTGCTAGTTTACATGAATGCTGTGTGCGTACATAACACCCACTCCCCTTCCACCCTCATCGACAATGGCCACTGCTCTTAAAAATCTTTTGTTCAGTAAAAAAATAAATAAATAAATAATCTACCTCTGTTTAACTTCTATAGCTTCTGGAAGACTCAATTATTTTGACTGCATAAATAAGTAGATAGATGTATACAGCAGTACAGTTTCAAAAGCACAAGCTGAAATGGAAGCCAAATGTGTCTGCAGAGGCAAAATGGGTACTTCCCTCAATCTGGAATGAACATCCCTTTATCAGTACCTGGGCTGCATTCTGTGCCACTAGCGTTGTCTCATTTGAGGTTGAAGCCGCTTTTGTAGGGGACTCCAAGGTGGATTCTGGATTTTCTGTGAACACAAGGTGTAAGAAGTAAAATTTATCTGCTAGAATCAATTCCATAGCCTTTACACAAAGCTAGTTTACGTCTTGGGTGGTAATAATTAAATGTGCACTAAAATTACAAAACTATGATGTTTTGTGAAATAAGATGACAAACTTTTGATAAAAGTTCAAGACCCAAAGGTGCCAAATATAGTGAATTTTCCTTAAAATGGGACAAGAATTCTCCTTTTTTTTTTTTTTTAACATTTATTCATTTTTGAGAGAGAGAGAGACAGACAGACAGACAGAGGTGTGAGCATGGGAGGGGCAGAGAGAAGGAGACACAGAATCTGAAACAGGCTCCAGGCTCTGAGCTATCAGCACAGAGCCCCACGTGGGCCCTGAACTCACGAACCGTAACATCATGACCTGAGCCGAAGTCAGATGTTTAACTGACTGAGCCACCCAGGTGCCCCAAGAATTCTCCTCTTAAGATAAACGCTGAAGTCCGTATGTCAGCTGGAAGTAGCAAAAACTACACTTGGGAGAGGGCTCCTGGCTCAGGACTCTTAGAGGTGGCTTACACTCTCTTAGGCCAACAGGGTATTTGCAAACAGCCATCTGCAATCCTGTGTAATATGTGTATAATAATCCTGTGTAATATGTGACACACACAAGTCCCAGGAAAGCAAATGACATATCAGGCAGTCTGGAGATGACAGGACTCTCTGCTGGTGAGGCTGTGTCAGCCTAGAGGGCATCAGATATACCGCTGACCCTTGAACATCACAGGCTCAAACCAGGCGGAGTCCACTTAGACGTGGCTGTTTTTCACTAAATGCGATACAGTCCTGTACCTATATTTTCTCTTCCTTATAATTTTAATAACATTTTTCCTCTAGCTTACTTATTGTAAGAAAACCATATGTAAGGCACAGAAGACACAAAAAACACAAATACTATTTATGTTATAGGCAAGGTTTCCAATCAACAGTAGGCTGTTAGTTGTTAAGTTTTGGGGGAGCCAATAGTCATATGCAGATTTTTTCTTTCTTTTTTTTAAAGTTTGTTTATTTTGAGAGAGCAAAAGAACAAGTGCGAATGGGCGAGGGGCAGAGAGAGGGAGGCAGAGAATCTCAAGCAGGCTCCGCACTGCCAGCGTGGAGCCCCATGCTGGGCTTGAACTCACGAATCATGAGATTATGACCTGAGCCAAAATCAAGAGTTGGATGCTTAACCGAATGAGCCACCTGGGTGCCCTTATGCAGATTTTTTTTTCCTTTTTTTAATAAAAATTTTTAATGGTTTTTTTTTTTTTTTTGAGAGAGAGAGGGAGACACAGTATCTGAAGCAGGCTCTAGGCTCTGAGCTGTCAGCACAGAGCCTGACGTGGGCCACAAGCCCACAAACTGTGAGATCACGACCTGAGCCAAAGTTTGATCTTTAACTGAGTCACCCCAGTGCCCCCAGAGATTTTCAACTGTGTGGAGGCTGGTGTCCGTATCCCCCACATTGTCCAGGGTCAACCATAAACTGTGGACTGTGGTAAGGGAGATGGGAGGGAGAAGGGACAAAGAGGAGAATGGAAGAAAGAGAGCTGGTGAAGGGAAGAAAAAGGAAAAACAGAGAAAATGTGAGCAGAAGGGAGAGACAGAGGGTTCTAGTTGGCCCAGCACAATGTTTCAAAGACTCACCCATGTAGTTGTATATAATAACATTCTGCTTATTTTTTCTTAAAGTAAGCTCCCAGTGTGAGGGTTGAACTCACAACCCCGGGATCAAGAGCCACGTGCTCCACTGACTGAGCCAGCCAGGCACCCCAACATTTTGTTCATATTTGTTTATTTTAAATTTTTTAAATGTTTTACTTATTTCAGAGAGAGAGAGAGAGAGAGAAAGCAGGGGAGAACCAGAGAGACAGGGAGACACAGAATCTGAAGCAGGCTCCAGGCTGAGCTAGCTGTCAGCACAGAGCCCGACGCGGGGCTCAAACCCATGAACCGTGAGATCATGACCTGAGCCGAAGTCAGTCGCTTAACCAACTGAGCCACCCAGGCGCCCCTGTTCATATTTATCATTGAGTAGATTTAGCTGTATAGATATGGTACGGCTTGTTTATCCATTTGTCCACTGATGGACATTTGCTTTGGGGCTGTCATGCAAAAAGTGGCTATACCCATGTGTCAAGTCTATGTGGATGTGGGTTTTCAGTTCTCTTGGGTAAACAGCTACGACGGGAGTAACAGTATCACACGGTAGGGGCTGGTTATTGTATCGAGGAACTGCCAAACCACTTCAAAAGTGGTTTTTCCATTGTACATCCCTCCACTAGAGCATGAGAATTCTAGGCAGGTCCACATCCGTGCCCACACTCTGTATTTTCAGCTGTTCTCCTTTGTAGGCTCTCTCGTAGCTATGCTGTGGCACCTCATTATGGTCTTCATCGCCCTAGTGAATAACGATGCCGAGGACATTTTCTCGTGCCTATCCACCGTCCTCACAGCTTCTGCAGTGAAGTGTCATCTACTGGTTTGGGTTTAATTGGTTCTTTTTCTCCCTAGCATCTTAAGGGAGAAGCTTATTAGGGTTTCCATTTTAGACTTTCCAATTTTTTCTAATATAAACATTTAATGCTAGTAACTTCCATCTAAGTAATGCTCTATCTGCACCCCCCCAGATTTTGCTGTTTCAATTTTCATTCAGTTGAAAATATTTTTAAATTTCCTTTTGGATTGCTCTGACTCCTTGGTTATTTAGAAACGTGTTTGATCTCCAAATACCTAGGGGTTTTCCAGGTATCTCTGTTACTGATTAAGAATTTAATTCTGCTGTGTTGAAGAACATACTATATGGGACTACAGTCCTTTTAAATACACTGAGACGAGTTTTATGGTCCAGAACTCAATCTATCCCATTGCCATGTTTCATATGCACTTAAAGAGGGTGTATTCTGCCGTGGTTGAGCTGAGCGTTCTTCAAATGTCAATTAGGTTATGCTGGGTTGGTAGCATTGCTCAGGCTTCTACATAGCCTATCAGTTACTAAGAACAGAAGGGATGGAATCTCCAATTATAATGGCTTATTTTTCTATCTGTCATTTCAGTCTATCAGTTTCTGTGTCACAGACTGTGATGAAGTGCATACACATGTAGGTTTCCTAGGGCTTCCTGATGAAATGACTGCTTTATTGTTACGAGACAGTCTTCTTCACCCCTGGTAATACTCCGTGTTCTCAAGTCCGTTTGATGATAAATACTGTCACTTCAGCTTTCTCACGACTAGTGTTTGTATGCTTTTGCATAGCTGTCTTCTTCCATCCTTTTAACTTTAACCTATCCATATATTTATATTTGAAGTGCATCATATAATTATCTTACAGTGGGATCTTCTTATCCAGTCCAACTAGGTCTGCTTTTGAATGTAGTGTTTACTAACACTTATTCTAATTATCAATATGGCTGGGTTTAAATCTACCATCTTGCCTTTTGTTCTCTATTAATTTCATTTGCTCTTTGCATTTTTTTGTGGATTCTCTTAGATTTAAAAATTCCATTTTATCCTATCGTCTATTAGCTATTACTTGCACTTAAAAAAATTATTGCTCTAGGTATTACCATATTTATCTTTAATAACTTATTAGTCTGTCTTCAAATAACCTACTACTCAAAAGACCCTCACCACAGCATACATCCATTCCTGTGAGCATCTTATGCACCACTGTTGTCATTTATTAACTTGTATATATATTATAAGCTCTACAATATGGTATTATATGCTTTCACGTAGAACACTTTCCGTCTGCTATCATTTTCATTTGCTAGAAGAACTTCCTTTATTTTTATTTCCTCCAAAATTTTATTTAAATTCTAGTTGGTTAACATATAGTGTAATACTAGCTTTAGGGGTAGAATTTAGTGATTCATCACTTACATGTAACACCCAGTGTTCAGCATCACAAGTGCCCTCCTTCATACCCAGCTCCCAGCCCCCCACCCACCTCCCTCCACCAACGCTCAGTATTTTTCTCAATCATTAAGAGTCTCTTACGGTTTGCTTCCCTCTCTCTCTTTTTCTCTTCCCATATGTTCATTAGTTTTGTTTCCTAAATTCCATAGGAATGAAATCATATGGTATTTTACTTTCTCTGACTTACTTCACTTAGCATAACATACTCTAACTCCATCCTGTTTTTGCCAATGACAAGATTTAGTTCTTATTGATAGCTAGTAATAATCCATTGTATGTGTATGTGTGTGTACATACAGTACAGTTTGGTTTTCCATAGTTTGGCTATTGTTGACAATGCTAATAAACATCAGGGTGCATACACCCCTTTGAATCTGTATTTTTATATCCTTGAGTAAATACTTTATAGTGCAATTGCTCGGTTGTACAGTAGTTCCATTTAAAAAAAAATGTTTTATTTATTTCTGAGAAAGAGAGACAGCTGGGCAGGGGAGGGTCAAAGAGAGAGGGAGACACAGAATCTGAAGCAGGCTCCAGGCTCCGAGCTGGCAATCAGCACAGAGCCCGACGCAGGGCTCAAACCCACGAACCGCGAGATCATGACCTGGGCCAAAGTTGGACGCTTAACCAACTGAGCCACCCAGGTGCCCCTACAGTAGATCTATTTTTAAATTTTTGAGGAACTTCCACACTGTTTTCCAGAGTGGCTGCACCAGTTTGCATTCCCACCAACAGTGTTAAGAGGGTTCCCTTTTCTCCACATCTTCACCAACATCTGTTGTTTCCTGTGTTGTTAATTTTAGCCATTCTGACAGGTGTGAGGTGGTTTCTCAATGAGGTTTTGATTTGTATTTCTCTGATGATGAGTAATGTTGAGCATCTTTGCAGGTTTCTGTTAGCCATCTGGATGTCTTCTTTGGAAAAGTGTCTATTCATGTCCTCTGCCCGTTTCTTAACTGGGTTGTTTATTTTTTGGGTGTTGAGTTTGATAAATTCTTTATAAAGTTTGGATACTAACCCTTTATCAGATATGTCGTTTGCAAGTATCTTCTCCCATTCC